CCAAGGAAAAGGAGATCCTCAGACAGCTTTGCTCTCGCCAAATCCCGCTCTCGCGAAACTTTGCGATCCCGATCTGCATCAATTACCTCGTTATCGACCATCTTCACCCAAGAGGCTACCCGTGCCCTTTTTGTTGGACCCCCGACAATTTTGCAACACGCTGGTCCATCTTGGCCGGACCTTCAGAACCGACCTCAAGCGCGCCCCCACCAATGGAGTGGTCAGTTGTCAACAGTGATGTCAGAAAGCGAAGGAGGCAGTGAGCCTGCGTCTCGAGCCCTCTCACTCTCTTCCGTTCCAGGTCGACGTGGTAGTGGGGTTGGAAGCAGTCACAGCAAGCATGTACTAAGTATGGCCTCCTCACTTTTCGGTCTTGAGGAGCATGTCGAAACCCCGTCTCACTCAAGAAGCAATTCACTCGAAGCTCCTGCAGCGACCTTCGCGCGAAGCATGCCTCGCGACCCAGCAACCGGTACCATTCGCCAAGTTCGCGACCACGACGAGGATGGCGATGGGCTGGCTGATTTGGAAGTTTACCATCATCCCTCGTCTCGGTCGCGAATGGGGAGGTTTTTGTCAAGTTATTCTTCTGATCGTAGTCTGCGATCGACTGCCAGCTTTAATGCTGCTGTTCCTGCCTGGGCTAGGTGAGTAAACAAATCAAGTCTGCCTGAGATTGTTTTCTAATTAGTTGATGGCAGAGTCTACTATGGCAGTGGCGAGCGCAAGTGGCTGGCTGCCCAACCCTCTATGGAGTCTATGTACTCTGAATACAGCCAAAGTCAGGCCCCCGACGGTCAGCTCAGCCGATCGCCGAGTCAGGATGCTAATGCTCCCAACATTCGCAACCCTCGACGCCGGCCTCGTGAAGCCTTACCTCACCAGCATTCAAATACAGGCTCCATGGACATCAGCGCAGCTCCAGCTCACCCCGTCCTTGCTGTCGTGCGTAACATCAAGAAGCAAACCTCTAGCATCTGGTCTCCTCATCTTGCTCGAGACCGACGCCCTGTTTCACAAAGCATCTGGCAACCTCCCGCCTCGCAATGGGAAGCACGCAGCGAACTGACTGGACGGCGCAACGCTCAGGTCACTATGTTTGTAGTGGGATTTGTTTTCCCATTAGGTAAGTCCTGGAAATTGAGTATTGAGACTTGGTTCTAACGGAGTTATAGCCTGGATGTTTGCTGCACTCATTCCTATTCAACGGAATAACCAGATAGAAGAAGACATTGAACGGAACAACAGTACATCTGAGCTGGGCAAACGCAACCAAGTCTCAGCTCGGGCAAGCGGCGAAGAGGATGCTGTTTTCACAAGCGCAATCTGGTGGAGGAAGGTCAACCGAGGAATGTCCCTCATCGGCTTACTCATCCTCGGCGCCATCATCGCCCTCATTGTGGTTGGCGTTAAGCAACGTTGGGGACATTGATACCACTCACCAAAAAACAGACGACGATGACCTGGATCAGAAGGACAGTCCTTATCTCGAAACCTATCATGGAACTTCACGGCATCTCAACAATTTACGACGCATTACGAATTATTTCCAATTTTGCTCGAACCAATTTGAACTTTGCAAAACTCACGATCTTTATGCACCTTGTCAAAAAGACCTTCAACGACCAACGATTTCTTCTTTCTGAGCGTACCTTTTTCAACGAGACACGATGTTTTGCCTTTACACTTTTCTGTCTCAGTATTTCGACGATGTACGACTTTTTCTTCCTCCGAGGCTTCCCATGCAACTATACGCTCTACTGTTCTCTTGAACGTCTTGCAAGTTTGTCCTGAAAGCCTGTAATGGACCTTTGTATAATCAGGAATTGGGGATGATATATACACTTGTACAACTATGTTTGGATTTGGCAGCAATGCTGAGACGAGAAAAGGCCGTCAGCATAGACACTCACTTCACGATACCATGTAATTAATCAGATTGAGGGACATAAACTGGACCTGCAAACCACTGCAGATTATCCCAGATATAGATAGATTAATGAACAGATGTACAATCTGCTAAAGATATTGTATACTTTTGCCAATGAATTCGCCATTAGTTACTCCGTACATAACGGAGAATCAACTCTAAACTCTTTGTCCCCGGACACCTGAAACAACACCATCATAACACCGGATGCGTCTTTCACGTTTGACACTAAAGCTCTCCGTGATGAGTACGCCGCTATGGTTAATGACAGACCCGCACCACATGAAGTCTTGATTAGCCTGTCTTGGCCTTTGCCTTATGCGCCTCAATCTCCGCCTTGACCTTTCGTTGTCTCATCTCCATCTCGGCCTTGATTTCTTCCACGGCCTCGTTGAAGTCACCCTCAATATCCTTGGAAATACCCAAAATGGGCTCCTTGCCCGTTAGACTGTCCGTTGAGATTGAGCGCACCAACTTAGCGCTAGCTCGGCCCTGACGCTTCTCGAGCTGCTTCTTCAGGGCGGCCTTTCCTGGGGAAGAGAAGAAAACGAGTGACAAAAAGGTCCAGATTACAGCGTAGAAGTAGACGCGGGACCAGGCTAGGAGCGAGCCCTGTAACGTGAGGACCAGGAAAGGTGTTGTGGCAAAGGTGAAGGTGAGTTGTGTGGCGAGGTAAGATACGAAGTCGTAGTACTTCTTCTTGGGCGAGGGGTTGCCAGTGATAGGTTCTAGGAAGAAGGGGCGAACATGGCGGCGGTAATCTAGAGATCGTCAGTATTGTTCATGTGTTTCGGTGTAAGTAAATAGATAGACTCACGCTTTGCAGCTGTCTGAATGAAGCTTGCAAGGACAAAGCTAAGGTAGTATCCGGGATAGAAGCCATGCCAGAGAGCACTTGTGCCAAAGGTCATGAGACTAGCGCGAAAACCAGGCTTCTTGCCTCGAGGCGTGACGCGCAGATAGACGTAGTTCCTCAACCAGTTGCTCGTGTTGATGTTCCATCCTCCAAGATATCCTCGAGGGTTCTGCGCAGTCTCAACAGCCCAGGGATCAATGTTCTGCAATCGGTTCCAGAAGACCTTGCCCGTAACAGGATCAACACCGTTATAGCCCATGCCCGCGAGGATGCAAGACCCTTCAGTAAGGTACCAGACACCATAGTATTTGAGTCGTGCAGTGAAGCTAACCATATGCATGATCCAGACACGGCGAAGGAAACCGTACTTTATGTAAATATCAGAAGTGAGCAGGCTGGGATAGTATGAACCACCTAGAGCCATGAACATTCCGATAAGGAAGAGGCCACTAGCTGCCTTCCAAGCTGCGGGACCACCGCTTCGAGGAATCTTTCGCTTCTTCCTCACGGGAGGCTTCTTTGCTGGATCGACGTTGGGTGCGTCAAACATGGTTGTGTCAAGCCATTTACGATAGTCGGTGAAGTCGAAAGACGGGCCGGCGAAGAGCGCAGGGAAGAAGAGAACCCAACCAGCATAGTCGAGAATAGGAGGCAGCTCCTTGAGCATGTTCCTCTTTTGAAAATCAGACAGATACTCTTCGGGGAGTTGACCGTCAGCAACGTTCCAGCAAAATGCACTGAGCTTCATGAGAAGCACCATCTGAGCACCTGTGACATCAGTCTTCGTTGGGTCGTCAGCGGCTTGACGAGCGATATGGCTTAGGGACATGTGGCCCATGACGAAAGCGAAGCCGATCCATGGCATATAGGGACTCGTTCGAAGGAATTTGGCGATGCAGTATGTTCCTCCTGCGCTGATGAAGAGGGTTCGGACACCATCCCATAGGTCAAAGAGACCGACGAGGTAAAAGATGGATACGCTTGGTTGGGCATGTTAGTGCGACTGAAACATGAATGGGCTGAGAGATCGTCGGTGTCGTACCTAATGGCAAAGAGGTTTTTGAGATCTGGCCTGGAGTCGGGAATTCGTTTGAGAAGAGCGGCGAGGGGGAATGATATTAGGAACGAGGTGACGAGTTTGACTGAAGTCGTTCGTGTTAGAGGTTTACTGAGCTTGAGGAGGCTCTGCTCTGGGGGAGTAACTCACGATCGTCTGGGGCGGCACCAACAGTGTCTGCTAAGGCCACAAAAGCTATACAAGCAAAGTTAGTCGCCAGAGAAATAGAGTCGTCGTTACACGACGGATGAAGCTTGAAACTTACGCCTATGCAGAAAGTACAGCATCTTGCTAGCGGTTGAGGTAGGTAGCTCAGCATACAATCAATACCTGCCTGTGGAGTCTAAGCGCTTCCAAGCTCGATAGATTATACAGTCCAAAAGGAAATAAAAGGGAGATAGTAGGAATTGGGCCTCTGCCTCAGCTATATCATTGCGTGAGAGAGAGAGAGAGAGAGAGAGACAGAAAGAGACAGTTCTTTCGGGTTGATTGATCAAAGGGTGAGGGACGTCATTTCTATCCTATCCCTTGCTTTATCTAGAATAGAGTGGAAGACAAGATTCCCCCAACATTTTGGAGAAGAAGCAAAAAAAGCTTGGACATTCCCTGGTGCTACCTAAACTTAGCACCTACCCTACCTAAGGTAAGGTAAAGAGTGACGTCCTAGGGACCCACGTGGGGCACTTCACGTGTCGATCTTGAAAACTGAGGTGGGCATGACCTTGAGGCTGATCATGAGCCTCGGACTTTATAAATATTATGTGCCAATTAGACGGAAGCGTGCTTATGCAGAGCTTTAGTATAGGGCAGTATCGACTTTAAACGCCTAGAATTGCTGGAAATTGTCTGTCAACTGGCGTTATCATCAACGCGTCCATCATGACTGAGCTCAGTCGATTGTAAGATCGAACTCAGAAGAAGAATGCATTGGCAAGTAATAAAAGACCCCTATCCGAAACTCCTTTGTCTATTCTTACTCGAAAATAAGTCACCGTCGTGCTCATTACAATGTTATACACACCCAAAAACCCTGACCCGAGTTCTATAAATCACCCGGGGACTTTTTATCCCTTGATTCGCAGGAGCCACGTTTATCCACATCATCAACGCCATGCACAGTAGCCTAACTTCCAAAGTTGCGCCTTGTATCGTATCATCTAAGAGTTGGCATCACGGTTGCTCTTGGCGCTCGCGCTCATCGTAGGTCGCACTGTAGGCAATGATCCTCCAGAGGACATCGATTGTCGTACGCGGGACCAAGCATAGACCAGACCGCTAATAAAGCCGAGGAAGATGGCAGAGACACTGCCGAAAGTGACTGGGGCGGAGAAGAAGACGAGACCGCTGATTGCAATAGGAAGTTTGTTGAGGGCTCCAACCATAGAATAGGTTGTTGAGGAGGTGATGCGGATGCACCAAGCGGAGCAGTATGAAATAAAGATAGCTGCAAGGCCAGAGTAGATCATGCCGATAATGATCTTGTTACGGGTATCGTCGGGGAAGTTGCGAGAGAAATTGTAGGCGGACCAGTCCTCTGTAAGAAGCGAGCAGACAACTAAAACGGGGATCGTGAGGAGGTTGTTGTAGTACATGGCTACACAATGTCAGCAACAGAAACATTCACACCGACAGTGCATGACTTACTGTCCCAGTCCCTAAAATTCATCTTCTTGATGACCTTGCGCATGCCGAGCACGTAGGCAGCACTGCAGAAAACATTCATTCCCATCCAGGCATAACCAGCGTTGAGCGTGGAGACGGCAGCAGCTGAGTCGGCAGTACCAAAGTCACCGTTGATGGCACTTTGAATGTCAGCCCAAGCTGCGACGATCGAGCTCAGCACCATGAGACCGAAAGAGAGCAAGGCAAGAGGTGTAACACTGCCACCGAACCAGAGGACCTCGCCGTATGCAATGACAATGATGGTCAAGTTCTTGAAGATCGTATAAACGGGGACAGAGAGGAACTGAAGCGACTTTGTACTGGTGTAAATCATGCCGACGAGGAGAAGAGAGATAGGGAACCCTTTGTTCGTGTTAGCTATCACAAGGTCGTGACTTGAGCCTCAAGAACGTACATTTTCTTGCTCGATCAGAGTCGAAAGGCGCAAGGACCTTAATCAAGCCCAGTTGTTTGCACAGAGTGATTGCGCCAATACACACGATAGCCTACACGGTCCAAAGTCAAAAACGGGTACAATGCCTTGTCATGGAGATTTCCTTGCCTGGACAGTCAAGTAGAAGAAGTTGAGGTTCCAGAAACTACCCGACACAACGTACTTGTTGACAACTGTCATACTGATCGAAGACAAGCAATACGCCAAGATAGACAAGGGCGGGCTCTTTTCCAACTGTTCGAGGCCACTGACTGGACTTGAGCCGTACGCTACGGGAGGCGGTGATCGCGCCTGGAAAGAAGGCTTCTCATTCTTATCATAGTTGTCATTGCCCATCTGAACAACATAGTCCTCGTTCTTCTTGTCGGTCATTATGGCAGCGGACGAGATGACGAGACGGAACGAAACGAAACGATCGTGGGAGTAAAACGTCGGGATCAGCGCTGGGATGCGACGGAAGTACCGGGTTTCGCTGTCGAGATCCGAAACGAGACGCTGTATGCTCGGTTCGTTCTAACGTCGGGTGCTATCGTGGGCGCAAATTGTGTAAGAGGAGGAAATGACAACGCGTTGGACAAAGTGTTCAGCCCTTTACCCCCGTTGGGAATCTTTTCTCCCTTTAGACTGAGAGCCCTGTAAAAGAAAGTACGAGGTACGAGCCACAGGGTCGAGGGGCTCAAAGGGAGACGTGGAGCAAATGGAACTTGACTTGGATTTGGGGCGCGTTCCTGCTGAGTCATCCAGAAGGACAGGGGCAAACTTTATGGTATTGAATGGTATGTAAGTTAGAGAGTAAGAGCAAGTAGGAGAGTAGACTGTTCAGCCTTTTTTCGGTCCATATCCGTATAGATCACACACTATCTCCTTTCAGGGTCCAGAAATAATAAGTAGTAAGCTCGTAAAAGAATTTGTGTTGTACGTACTGTATCATAGAATTAGCGTTTAATAGTCACTCCACCCGGTACGAGAAATCCAATAGCGCCTGCGCCTCAGAAGTGCCTTAGTACAGCACCCTTAACTAACGACAATGCTCATTTCAAATATCAAGAAGCAGAAGCAGCAGCCTCGTTGGTTTCAGGTGCTGCTGCTGCTGCTGCTGCTGCTGTCGTCTCTTCTCCAGCTTCTCTGTCATCGTCTGGTCCGGCAGGAAAGTTGAGGTGCTTCCAATCCTCCAACTCTTCTGTCACAGACCGCATGCGATCGCGAATGCTCTCAATTGCATAGCTTCCCAATAATAATCGTAGCGGCGGGTACGAGCAGTGTCCTAGTTGCCATACAAGTTCAGCGCACTTGATAGCGCTCGTGGGTCGATACTTGTCACCGAGCCACTGAACAATTCTTCGTGCATGGAGCGCTGGTGATGTTGGATGGCCGTATGTCTCGCTCGGTGGCTTCACAAGAAAATGACCCCAGGACGTTGGAAGCGACGTATCTTGCATCTCTGGCTCTTCGGGTCTCACATGGCCTGGCTCAATGAGTGTGGCTTTGATGTTGAAGGCATCCGTCTCATAGAGCATGGCCTCAATTAGGCCCTCCACCGCATATTTGGTCGCGCAGTAAGGGCCCAGGCCAGGGACGCCCAAAGCGCCAGACGTTGAGCTGAAGATGAGATAGCGGCCTGCATTCTGTCTGCGGAAGTACGGCAGCGTAGCGTGAATAATGTGAAGCGTGCCCATGAAGTTGGTCTCGAACTGGTTACGTATGTCATGCTCATCCTGGTCCTCGCAGGCGCCTATGACACCGTAGCCAGAGCAATTGACGACAATGTCGATACGGCCAAAGCGCTGGAGCGTCCGCTCGATGACACGATTCACAGATTCGCGAGCGCGGACGTCGCACAAGGCGCCGAGACAGTTCTCATGGATATTCTCCATGTCCTTAAGACTTGTCTCGAACACACGGCCAACCGACGTTACCAAGTCTCCATGTGAGAGTGCACATTTGACAAGGGAGTGCCCCATCTGACCCGTACCTCCAAAGATCTGTACATCCAACGGTGAGCATATCGAACGAATGAAAGAGCGCTGTGCGGTGCAGGAGATGAATCATACCACCCAGACTAACTGCTTCACTGGGGTGTTGGGCTGTGGAGGATCACAGCTCGCAGGAAGTTGCGCTATCCGCGGCCTAGATGATGCCTCAGTAACATCTGAGACTTCAGTTCGGGTATCCATCGTTTGCGTCAAGTCTTGGTCTCTGCAATTGAGTCCTATATTCTGGTTATTCAAGTTTGTTGTTGTTGTTTATGGCTGAACTGAAGAGAAGGTTTGCTTTGCAAGCTGTAAACCATAAAACTCCAGGGTCTCGTGTTAGGTATGCTCCGGCGGGGTCCAAAACTGTACGTATCAGTCAGTGCTCATACTCACAATGCCTTTCTTTATATGGTCAAACTCTAGATGCTGACTGAGCTTGTCGCCTAAACCCCCAATCTGACTGAGAATTAAAGCATGAATAGAAGTATCGTGAAAAGCAATAATCTCCATCTTGGAGTGTAAATTTGAATCTATCCTTGTTATGCCTTGAATACCTATCCACTTCATGCTTTCGCGCCAAAGCTTGCCTAGCCCAGTTCGCTGAAACTCTCTTAAGAGTGTTCTAGATGCCCTCGGCCTCAAGCTTGATTTTCAATACAGATCAAGGTTTGATTCGTCGAGGAACAACTAGATCTTAAGGAGCTACGCCTTTGCCGCATGCTCTAACTACTGCAAGATGCTTTGACTTACACGCCCCGCAACGATCCATGAAATACGCTGGAGCCAATGCTATGAGCGGAATTCTTTGCTGACCGTATGATGCGCTCAATCGCAAAAAAGTTTGTGACCCTCGTATAGAATAGATATGCACTGCAGGTGTTGTAGGTGGAAGCTTACTGGTATTTCAAAGAAAACTTCAGTTTGGAACAAAGATGAATAGATATGATATGTTTGTATGCATATGGAACCGGATTTCTCCAAACTCCCGCTACCGCTAACTCATCCCCCTCAGGAATAAATGGTAAAATATCAAATGTAAACGATTGCCAATTGACTTGCTCAGACTGCCACCGATTTGTGACCGAGTTGTTTTCGGTTCAGATCTCACAAAACCGCTCAAGTCGTATGTTTGTGGTCTGCAACAGACACACCATACAAAATGACGTCAAACAGCTCCCAGATCACGTCAACCCTACACTTTCCGCATCAGCTTCAAGCGGTGATATTCATGTTTGACGGTTCTTCAGTTGGACTGGTAATTCGGTCGTTCTCCTGTTACTTAGCACCCTCCACTACTACCAAATACTGGCTTGATTCCCATGTGGGCCTCTTACTGGTTGGGCTCACCCAGGAACTGCTTCACGTATTCCTGTCGGTGCTCGTTCTTGTCGACATCGGGGCCTCGGTTCAGAGGCGTCCACTTGGGATCCTCCTTGAACAGTCTCATGGCTTGGACGTACTGTGATCATCAGCCTGTATTATATGTGGTAAAGTACGTCCGTTGACTTACGTTGCTCTCATCAGTAGTGAAGCGGTGGTAGATGCCAGGAGGTAGAATAAGAAGGTCATCCTTCTCGAGCAACACGCGCACCCAGTCGTCATCCTTGCTTCGGACGTCAAAGTATCCACGGCCTCCACGAATATATCGAATCTCTTCGTCCTCGTGCAGGTGCTCGGCGAAGAAGGACTTGACCTTGGTTTCGTAGATGTCACCCATGGCTTGGGGAGAGACAGTGATCTCGTCGCGGTTCTTGTAGCCACGCTCCTTGGCAAGGTTGTCGACCGACTCGAGCTCAGGGAGATGGTAGTAGTAGACACCGATGTTCATGAGATCGTCAACACTGACGGGCATGCCCGAGTTATGAGGGAGGCGCTGGTCGCCCTGGAATTTTTTGTTAGTTAGGCCGTGCAGCAAAGAGAGGTTATACGTACGGGAAGGCCATCGTAGAAGTAAGCTCGCATGGTGGTTAATTTATTCGATGGATATAGAGACTATTCGGTAAAGAGAAAAGTACAGTAGAAATGGTATTGCAAGACCAAAAGTGTCAGCAGGTGGAAGCTCTTTTTGAAGCTTTGAAATGGCCGGGGTCCCAAGCTGTTTATGTACCTACATTTTAGTTACAGCGTCCCAAAGGTTCCATGGCGGGGTCAACCATGGAATGTCCGGCGAAGGCTATCAGCGCTACACCAAAACGCAAAAGGTAAAGGTCCCTGCTGCGCTGACATCACAAGCACACACGCCTTCAAAGGCCAGGCCCTCAATGGACCAGCTCGTAAATCAACCTAGAGGTTATGCAGACTTTTGTCTTGTTTGGTGCCCACCCGAACTACCTAACAGTGGACGAACGGCACTAGTGCTTTCTTGCACTGATACAGATTTACTACATATCATGAGACAGCATCATGATGCCTGCCAACCTATGTAAACCACAAGTGACCACCAGTTTTACCAGATGCCCAAAGGCCATGAATCATTCCAATCTGACAACGCCATAGTAAATCAACGCTATCGGCAATACATCTGTCCAGTGCCATGCTTCCAAAATATACCAATCCTGAACGCCAATTCATAGCAAATATTGAGCATAATGGCTCTATTGTTCCTTGCTGAAACCAATCTCCTTCTCTGCCCTTGACACTTTAAAGCTCTCGGGGCGCAGCTTCTCGCGCCCCGGCAACCATAATATCGTTTGTACTATCATCCGCATCAACCCGAGGTCGAGCCTCAAACAGACGCCTCCACCAGTTGGGAGGGTCGAGAGGGCGAGAGCCGTTGTGCAGAGGAGGGTAAACATCAGAAAAGAAATACCAAACATGTCCAATAACCACACCCATGATCTCATCCTTAGGGATAGTGCCGTGTAGTACAAGGCTGAAACCCATCAAAACCCAGGGCAGATAAGGCGCGGTGAACACAAGTAAGCCGAGGAAGCTCAGTCTAGTCTCCGGGTTACGTCGGGACCATATGTAGACCAGCGTCGAGGAGAGCGGATGGCCGAGGAATGGCATGGAAACAAGAGGCGACAGAGCGATCAAGGAGGCCATTGAATAAAGTAGTAACCACGAGAAATGAGCAGGCGATCGACCCGATGACTCCTCTAGCAGGCGCGCATAACGTTGAAGGAAGTAGACGTGGAACAGTAGATCGAGCGAGAAGGGGCCAAAGTAGAGAAACGTCGTCAAGAGTCGCCAGTACTGTTGGAGATGCAACGTCAGCATAAGCGTTCACATTTCAAATATCTGTCATAAAAACAAGCAAACAAATGGTTGGGAAGAATACGAACCTGTGATTTCACGAATACTGCACGAAAGCTGTAGAATAGTTGGAAAGGAGTGACCATCTGACATTGAACCAGGGCACTAGTCAGAATGGTAGCGGTTGTCCACCAACGAGTGCAT